TCGCGGATATTGGATACCCGTCCGTCCCGTGCTTTGCATGATCGAGTCTGAAATCAACCTCATTAGACACGACAGACTTAGTAAACCTTGTTCCTACGGGTTATGGGCCCAAATCCGTCGGATCGTGGATCGTGGATCGTGGATTCGGAAACGCAAAGCAAAATCGAGATAAACAATGGAATGGTTACCAGACGAGGGCGAGTTATGCAACGACTATAAGTGCGCACATACTACCGGGGCTGTGTGCAATGCCAGTCAGAGCGACTGGAAATAAGCGGCTTTCCGAAGACGATGGGACTGAAAGAATAGATTGGGTGTGACAGAAAAGCCCGCAAGACGACGGGGAACAAGTTAGACATAAACTATAAGAAAGTAATACGCTAAGGATAAGATATTAGGCTTAGGATGAGGAGCACAGCTTAATGAACCATACACTACGTCTCTGTAAAAGAGAGAGGAGGGAGGAAAAGAGAAAGACACCGCCGTGAGGAGAGGAGAAGAAGAAGAAGAAGAAGAAGAAGAAGAAGGAGACGAGGGAGAGGCGGCGGAGCCGGACTGACGGGAGCCTAGCACGGGAGTAGACATGAGACCGTTGAGAAAGAGCGACACACGGAGAGGATAGGTAACACAATCTGGACGTAGAACCAGCAGAAAGGAAAATACAAGAGTGCGAAAGCGGGGAAAAAGTGGCTGAGAGAAGGAGAATAATCAGAGCAGAGATAAGAGCTGCACGTCAATCCAAGCATATAGGTCGAGAGAAGAATAATCAGGGAGAGAACAACTGAAGAGGCACCTAAACCCAAGCATGAAGGCCAAGGGAGGGACAAGAGGAGGAAAATTAGAGACAAAAGGAAATGTGTCACAGGGGTGGATGGGCGCTTAGCGAGGCGAAAGGAGCTGCTTACTCGAGCGGTGGCACCCTCCTGAAGATTCTTGCACCCGCGAGCATCTCCCTTGGCCAGTTCTTTACCCTCCATATCTTGAAGAAGCGTGGTACGACTGCGCACAACAAATACCCCATCAGACCAGGGACCCTTTCGCTTGGAGTTTCGTTTAGGCTGGCAATACATAACGCTGAAGTAATTGGCCTCTTCCGCCTCTGGAACTCCATGATTTACGGGAGGTCTCCCGTTCCCAGCAGTCGTCTCGCTCCCTGAGCCGCTGGCGCGTCCACTGGACAACACATGCAGCAGACCCTTGCGCCTGGGGGCTATAAACGATGACAGCCTCTTTCCCGCCGAAGCTGCCATCGCCATAGTGCATCCAGAACCCCCCACGTCCCCGGAAATGCCTTCATCGTCAACATGTTTGACGCCAGCGTGAGCACTACTGTCTGTCGCACACGCTGTCGTTTGCCCGGCCGCTGCAGGTGCGCCCTTGCTGCTTCCTCTTCCTGTAGCACCGCCACCATCCACGACAGCATGAAACGGAGGAGGAGGAGGAGGAGGAGGAGGAGGAGATGCATGGATCATAACGCTATCTGACGTTGTTCGTCCGGCACCCGCAACGGTTACCATTTGTGCATCGCTCTTGTTCTCGGAATTGCCGATGGAGATGGGAATTTTCGCCGCTGCAGGAGGCCCCTTTTCTGCTGCAGCAGTTGAGCCGCCCTCCCTCTCACTTGCGACAGAGCTCCCGCTGATTGGATGAGGATGTGTCCGAGACGGCGCACGCGGGATGTCAGCATCATGTGAACCTCCTTGTGTGCGCGTTCGCGCTCTCACATCTTCGGCATTCCCTCTACTCTCTCCGCCAACACCACCTTCTTCCTCAGTTGCAGGTGCGATGACTGTTCTTCTTGCCGACACCAGCGCCCGTCGCTTGAACGGAGGCGGCTTTCCGGGCACTGTCAGCGGCCCCTTACTGGCAGCACCGATTCGCTTCTGATCAGCGCGTTGGCCCCGGGCATCCTCGGTCTCCTTCCCGCTAGATTCTTCTTCCGCATTCCCAGCCGAAGACCGCGGCGCACTGACAAGCGGAGGCGTAAACGGCCGTTTGAACGCGCGTTTCGCCGCCGGGAACTGGAATTGCTGGGCGTTCAATCGCGGACCAGGGTTGGTTGCTTGCGCCCCACCGTCGTCGGACGAGGTGCGGTCAATCACGGGCGAATCACGATCTCCTCCGGGATCTGTCAGTAGCGGAACCTTGAACTTACTAGACTTCGACCCTGTCGATGTCGACGCCCCACTCTTCGCCGACGCCATATCGCGCGTACTGCACTCGCAAAAATCCTACACCATGAAGCCTGGACACGTGTCACAGAGACACAGAGAGAGAGAGAGAGAGAGAGAGAGAGAGAGAGAGAGAGAGAGAGAGAGAGAGAGAGAGAAGTTCGGTAGACTCGCGCGTGAGCGGTTGAATCACTGTAGCTCGCCCCCCAGAAGATCGGCGTAGACAGGGTACATTGATGAGAGAGTTGGCGAGCCCTGGACAGGGACCCTTGTTTAAACGGTTCTCTGCAGGGAACCAATCAAGCTAACATAATCGTGGCTCTCCAGCGCCAATTGCGAATATCTTGTGGACCGATGAGTCAGACGTGAAATGCTTCACGTCGGCGAGCATCTGTTCCAGACGACAAGATGACGCAGCCTGCCAGCAACGAGAGAACGCCGAGCGAACGACGAGGGCATTGTCAGTCGACGCTGTTTCGGGCGGGTATGCTTTCGGAAGCTGTCCACGTAAGGGCAGAGCTGATAGAACCAGGCGGCAGATCGACTATGAAGGCATTGGAAGCGTTGACACGCTCTTCCTCGCGATGCGTTGGGAAGCTTCAGAAGCTGTCTTGGCTGAACTTGTTAGAGGCTCGCGGCACACCCACAGGTTAGCGTGCAGGAATACCCCTTGCATCTCGCCTCACCACTCTCCCACGAGTCTCGGGAAACTTTCGTTACTTCCGAGAGTGGTGTCGCTGCCACATACGATTTTTCTGACTTCCTGACGAAAGCGGGCGTTCTGGAGGCACAGGCCGCGCTACCGGTTGCCTCGAGCTGCACTATCGGTAGTTGCCTGGCCCGCGATAAATGTTGACTCGGACTCGCCACTGCGGCACTGTGGCATGGTGGCTATGGCGGATGGCTGACCGACCAGAGCTCCTGGTCGTAGTCGACGATAGGCAGTGCGAACAGCCGTAGAACCGCATCGATACACTTCGCACACCACGGCGATATCCAGACACTATCCCAGTCCCAGCCGCGCTGCAGGGGAGGGGGGGGGGTTCCAGACTTATTCTTGCTCGTTTGATTCCATAGGAATTCGAACACAGGTCTGTATTTCATCACTTCATGGGTACCAACTCAGCCAGTTGGCACCCATTACAGGGGCACCCATTACAGGGGTTGGGGTGAAGTCCAGTGACAGATTGGCGGACGCCCAGGCCAGAAAAGCCTCACAATAGGAAAATCACCCAAAGAGAAACTTCCGCGTGGACTAAAATGCCACATAAGCCAAAAGGTTAGCACCTGGCACTACCTCCACCTTATTGAAACTATGTGCTATCCTATAAGCCAAAAAGTTAGTACCTTGCACTGCCTCCACCTAGTCGAAAGCATGTACTATCCACGAAAAAAGGATTCGTACAGCCCATTAGCTCAGCGGGCAGAGCCCCTGTTGGAATTGCGCATTGTGTGGTATAAGGTTGTGGGTTCAAAACTCAACTACAGGCTGCGCATTGTGTGGTATAAGGTTGTGGGTTCAAAACTCAACTACAGGCTGCACATTTCTGCCGGCCGACATTGTCTGACGTACGGCTGTACACACTGTCCTCTGGCCATTACACGGTTATGATACAGACCCTGCCTGAGTCTTGGTCGTTGTATGTTGGATTCTGCATTTGTGGGCTCTTGGGGATGTTGGCTAATGGTCTCACTGTTGGCCTGTTGTCCTGCCAAATGCCCTTACTATTTGGCATGTTTTTTGCACGTCGCATAGGTGCGGCCTCGTCCGAAGTTGATGGCGCGCTCGCGGGTGAGAGTTGAGTCCTTGCCCGGGTGAGTGGCACGCGGTGTGTCGACGGCGAGGTGCAACCATGCGAGGCCTGGAGGTGCGTGACGTCTAAAGGCCAGCGACAACGTTTGTCTTTTTGTTTCTTGTCTAATTTTTATTTTTATTTTATTGTTACTTATGTTTTTGTTGATGATCGACGTCGGGACTGACGGGTCTGTCTCAATTACTACATCGCCGGACACGGGTAGCCATCACGGCAGATGAGGACCTTGAGCACGTGTCTTCGTGGGCGGGCCCGTTTGGGTTTCCTGTGTGCCTAGGATGCCGGAAAAAATTCCTCTATCCTACCCGTTTTGAAACACGGACCGAAGGGGTTCAACGTGTATGAGGGCCGGTGGGTGCTTTGGCCCATGGCGGGGCGGGGGGACCTCAGCAGTGGAGGCCCGCTGTGGGTGCACCATCTGCCACCCTCCATCTGTTGTGAGAGGTTTGAGTGTGAGCATGCCCGTTAGGCCCCGACAGACGGGGAACTGTGCCTAGGCACAGAGGGCCATAGGGGCATCAGGGGGGAAGGCATGGCAGTCCACATGGAACCCGTCTCCACTTCGGGCTTCGAAGTTTTTTTGAATATTTGCTACTACACCAGGATCTGCACCGAGACCCGCTTCACCTAAAGCTCATGTTGCGGCCTTTGAAGAAGGCCCTGCGCCCTTCTATTCATCGTGGCGTCAGAGTTGCCACGACGGCCGATCATAGGTCGCGTGCTGCAGCGCCATCTGCATTCAGGGCTGATTGAGTCGGCAAGTGAGTTGTTACACACTCCTCGACAGATTTCGACTTCCATGACCACCGTTTTGCTGTCTGTATCAATCAACACCCGTTATGGTGTCTAGGTTAGCGCACAGTTTGAGTTGCCACGACGGCCGATCATAGGTCGCGCGTTGCAGCGCCATCTGCGTTCGGGGCTGATTGAGTCGGCAAGTGAGTTGTTACACACTCTTCAGCGGATTTCGATTCCATGACCACCGTCTTGCTGTCTGTATCAATCAACACCCGTTATGGTGTCTGGGTTAGCGCACAATTTGACGCAGACGGGAAGCCGGGCAGTGGAGTCAAGGAATGAACCTGGGGGCTGAATTGCGCCGGATGCGTTCGACAACGAAGACGAGGGAGTAGCAGCTATGGCGGGAGCAAAGAGCATATAACCTGCCCGGGCGGGTAAAGGTGCTAATCTAAGGTTTTTCGGAAGGGCGAATCGAATGGTGGGGTCAAAATGGTGGGAAAGTCGGTGGAAAGGGAGTTAGTAGAGAACGGTGTGTGCAAGAGCATCGGGGAGATGGATATGGCCACATTAGGGAGCGAACATCTCGCTCAATTTTTGACGGAATCACACAAGGAAGGGTGCAAGGTTGGGAGTTTGTAGCATAGCGAATTTGATAGTACTCTTGAATTTAGAGGTTAGTAGTTAGTTTTTGTGCTATACCGGTGAGGGGCTGAGCGGAGGTTGAGTGAAGGAGAGGAGAAGGAGAGAGTAGAAAACGGAAATCTCAATTGATCCTCAATGGAATCGGGTGAGGTAAACGTAAACGCCTACTAAAATGAGGTTTCGGGAGATTGCGAGCACCTTGGTGAAGACCGATTGGAAGGGGAAGTAACATAATCTACAGTACGGTGTGCAGGAATTGGGTGAAGGAGGGGAAAAAAAAAAAGTATACTTCCATGTATAGCGGAAGATTCATTCTGATTTTTGTTTATCCTGTCGATTGGAGTAGCCTCTCTCTAGAAAGTAGTGTATACCTGCGTCCTTTACCGACATATTTGCCCTCATTTTGCTCATTCTTCCCATGTCGCTATCGCCTAGTGTCTATTTCTCGCTTGGGCTCTCGACTTGCTCGAACTGCTTTTGGGTTTGCACGCATCTAGCCGAGGAAAGTGGCCAGATTCAGTGAACGAAAAGTAGAGGCAAAGGTTAAAGGGACTGACGTTTGCGGTAGCGGGAGAAGTAAATAGTGAAAAGGGAGCGGATGTGATCGATGTACCTTCTTGTGTTTTAACACACGATTCATTCTCATTTTGCACATTTGGTGGGTGGAGGACGAGTTTCGTAGTCACGCTTGCAGTTGTACTCACCGCTGCTGATTCAGTGTCTGCAGTGTGGTTGTGCTCGTCCCCGCTGCTAGTTCCTCCTTCGTTTCGGGTTGTCGCTCGGCTAGCCGAATCTCCTTGAAATTGTGTTTGTTCTCGTAGTACTTACAAGCAGGTGGCTCCGACTGTTATCAGGACCACGGTGCATCAACGAACAGAGGGAGAGTGAGGTAGAAGTCGAAGACAGCGAGCGGAGGTGATCCATTGTCATCACCTCCTTGTTGCTGCGTGGTTGACTCTTCCACTACTCACGCGGTCGGTGTCGTCTCCTCTGTGGTGAATTGAGTTGATTCCCAGTAGAGTGTCGTTATTCCACGACAGTCACTGAGATGCATGAATCCAGCCAGGAGTGTTGGTTAAGCGCATTAATGGGAGAGAAAGTGTAAAGAGGAATGTGTAAAGGAGGGTGAGTAGGGAGGTTAGTGGAGGTGGAGATGGTTGAGGCGGGCAGGCCAGCCAACCGGCTAACTCGACTCTGGGAGGATCAATTTGCACACATCAAGTGACTGTATGTGTAAGTCTGAGAATTTAGGGGAGGGATGAAAATGAGGAGTGCTTGAAATTGTCGAGCGAGAAGCATGTGGAGAGAAGTCGTGCATCCCTATCTAGGCGAGGGCAGACGACGACTCCCCCTCCTTGTCGGACGTTGGGGTTCCTTCGTATGCGGACAAGTATCACTGGCGTACCCTGCTATGTGACTGCATTCTGCAGTTGAGTTCGGCGACCGGTTTTGCTGAGCTTGCAACAACACACTTTGTCGGACGCTTGGTCTGTAATCACTATGCTTTTTTGTGCACGTCGGATTACGTTGTATACTTGCGGAGCACTAGCTAAATGATTGTTATGTATTCACCGCACGCTTGCGGTGCATAGTATAAGATAGTTACTGTATAGTGTTGCGCTTTGCCCACAACTCGAATGCTTCAGGGAGTGCTGCCAAAATCTGGAAAGCCTCCTTTTCTAAAGGGAGTGCTGCCCAATTTTTTGCTACTTCAGGGAGTTAGACAAAATTGGACTTTGAGAAGTCAAAGTCACTTTAGATTCTGAACTTAGCTTTGTAGAAATTTTGGATTAGCATTTTTCCAAAGGGAGTGCTGCCAAAATTTATACAAAATCTAAGGAATTAGATAAAACTTATCTTAGTTGAACTCAGGGTTGCTCTGGGTTCATATCTGACTTAGTAAAAATCTGGAAAGTTTTATTTTCTAAAGGCACTGTTGCCCAAATTTTTACTAATTGTGGGAGAGACAAAATTTGACTTT